CTCTGTGCCATTGCCTCTCATAGCCTCTGCCTCTTCAGGGTGTTTGGCAAATCTAGACCCTGAAGTGACTTATCTCCCTTCCTTGGGTTAGATAGGCGACAACCTTTTTAAGGAGAACAGAATGCTGTGGTGTATTTGAAAATGGTTTCTTTTGCCCTCTTCCTGCCGGACAGGACAAGGGGATTTTTTTCAGATAGTCACTGTGAGTTGGTTGAGCTCCTAGAGGTGACATTCACAAAAGTGTGGGAGCATCTTTGAGGGGTCCCCTGGAGTTTGTAACTGCCAGTCTGTGTGGACACTGAGCCTCCAGCAACTTGTCAATTGCAGTTCAGGTTTCCTTGTAGGGGGGCCTACTTCCTGCCTGTCAGTGCTTGTGGGTTTTGGCTTCGGAAAGTCACCATTTTCTATATTTAACTGTCAGTCTTTTCCAAATTGGGACAGGGGTTTGCCCTGTGACCCTACTTCTCTTATAGATATAAAGAGAGTTATTGATTTATTTCAGTTTGTTCAGCTTTTTCCTTGTTGTTAGGACAGAGTAGCAGCTCCCTGCTTCTTACATACATTACTGGAAACCAGAAGGTTAGCCCAATTCACACCAGTTTGTCCTCACTCAACTCTGAAGGAAGCTTTTATTTGATCTCTAGTTGAACCCATGCCCATGTCGGCAGCACAAAATTTTTATGCTAGACATCACCCTTTTGATGAGATTACTTATTTGATGAATATTCTAACTTATTTACCATGGGGATTCTATAGATTTTGTACATTATAAAGATTGAGAATATAAATGTTGACTATTATGAAGCAACAGATGAACTCAAGTTAAGCAAATAGCAGCTATTACTTAGTTGAAGAGGCCTCTATGCAAAATAAATACAGAATACAATAAGCAGTAAAAACCGGTACTTAGTCATGGCATCTAAAAGGCTTATGGTAAAATCCATGTTAAAGATACACAGAAATATAATGATTACATACACTTCCTCAATCTACTATAATTCATATCACTTTCACTTACTATATATCTTCTTAAAAATGTTATACAAAAGAAATGACCTATTTACCAGAAATGATAGACAAAAGAAATGACCTATTTAGCAGGAAAATGTGCAATAAATGTGTGGGGGTGGGAAGTACGTGGGGGTTAAGGCTGCATGGAGGCGTGGTTGCCACATGATATTGTAATAACTACTTGTGAAACTCTCTTCATGCATAAGTGTCTAAGGGTAAAGGATAAGAAATAATAATAACAGCATGACATTTTTTTTTTGTTATCATTGTTGCTGGTTGCATTGCACGGACATTAGCTGTCTTGCTCTGTGATATCCATGTTAGAAGGAGCTTTCAGGATCTTAAAATCCTTAGCAGGTTACTACACAAACTCTGGCTCTGCAGTAGACAACGAAGAACATGTAGACAAGTGAAAATTAAAGGGAAGAGCTCTACCACTTATTATTTCTCTTTCTGCTAAATGGCAACAGTATTGCGGGTATCCTTGGAATTCGTGAGCACACAAGTTACCATTTAAAATGGGATATTGCCATCAGATTCGAAGAGATAATTTTATGTTATTATTACCACTTAGTACTTTAAAATATGTGTAAGCCCTAACCGGTTTGGCTCAGTGGATAGAGCGTCAGCCTACGGACTGAAGGGTCCCAGGTCCGATTCCGGTCAAGGGCATGTACCTTGGTTGTGGACACATCCCCATTAGAGGGTGTGCAGGAGGCAGCTGATTGATGTTTCTCTCTCATGGATGTTTCTAACTCTCTATCCTTCTCCCTTCCTCTCTAAAATTTCAATAAAATATATTTTTTAAAAATATGTGTAAAATTCTGGGGAGTATCAACATAAAAGCAGGTTATCTCAGAGAAATAACAAACCTTCCACCAAATAGTGGAACCTGAGAAAATATGACAGGATAACACCTTTTGGTTGGGAGAGGAAAGTAGGAAATAGTTAGAGCCAGTCCACCAAGTTAGTCACCTAAAGGACCACATATAGATAGATGCTGGGGATCTGTGGGTGGGGATACTATACAGGACAAGCAAAGGCTTCCTGGTTAGGCTTGGAGCTGACCCTGAATACCAGTGAGATTTAAAAAGTACTGTGCAAGGCAAAAATAATACACAGATAACAATACAGAAATACAAGAAAAAGGAGGGGAAGGGGAAGGGTCATTGAACTTCCCTGACAAAGAGGTCATGTGTGAGGCTAGCACAGTGCCTGGATGTCTTTAAAGAACCAAGGTGTCCTGTGCTGTTCTGTCCCTCAGCCCCCCTCCGTGGATCTGTGCCAGATGAAGGGCTTGGCTTGCATTTCCATGCGTGTGAAAATACATATATTTAAATACTGGGATCACTCTGAATGCATCAAGATGCTAGGAGATATCGCTGAAGAAATGAAAAATGACTGAGGGGGGAATTATTTGTGTGAAGAGAAGAAAAAAAATGCAATATGTATCTCTTATCCTGGATTCAATCAAATCCATGTGCCCTTTTGATGAGTATGGTAGAATTTGCTGCACTATTTAATTTGGCATTTCTCTTCTTGTTTTGAGAGTTTTAAGGACATAGTCTTGAAAATTCTATGTATTTTGCAGTGCTACAGTATTAGTATACTTTAACTTAAGCTTGTTCTTATGTTGTTTCTTAATTGCCTCCAATAAATTTTTTTTAAAAAATACATTTTTTATTGATTTCATAGAGGAAGAGAGAGATAGAAACATCAATAATGAGAAAGAATCATTGACCAGCTGCCTCCTGCATGCCCCACATTGGGGATCAAACCCCAAACTCGAGCATATGCCCTTGATAGGAATAGAACCCAGAACCCTTCAGTCCACATGCTCTATCCACTGAGTCAAACTGGCTAGAGCCAATTAAAATTTCTTAATGGGAGTTATCTATCTACCATGTTTCCCCAAAAATAATACATCCTCCTAAAATAAGACCTACTTACAGGTTTCCTTCTGAGTGAAGTATAAGGCATCCTTCCCCAAAATAACCCCCCCCTCACAGGCTAAACATGAGAGATTTGGTCCACTGATTCTGGAAGAAATGAAGTCACAAGACATACACTAGGAAATTCAGGAATTGGATTGTTATGATGATGTTCCAGAAGATGATGACATGATTGTCATTGAATAAATGAATAAATTCTTGATACTGTAGAATTCACAGTTTGTCTGGTTTGTGTTGACAACTACTGTACTTTATTACCATATACAGGTAATAAATTTCCTTTATTTTCATTTAACAATAAATGTGTACTATATTCTTCTTCATGGAAAAATAAGACATCCCCTGAAAATAAGACCTAGTGCATCTTTGGGAGCAAAAATTAATATAAGACACTGTCTTATTTTTGGGGAAACAGGGTATCTATCTATATATAAAGCTTTATATAAAGTTTATGTAATGGCGATGACAAGAATCTACAAAATTATATTCAGATTAAATCAACTTGAATTGAGTGCTCATTCTGATACAGTGTTCTACTCATTTGCATAGAGAATTTCCATCTTCCTTGTATCATCGCTCTAAAGTAGGCTTTTAAAAATATTTTGAAATAATTATAGATTCGCAGAAATTTGCAGAAAAAATAAATAGTACAGAGAGGTACCATGTAGTCCTCACCCAGTTGTCCTCAGTGGTTACATCGTACGTAAGTAGAGTATGACATCAAAGCAGGAAGTTGTCATTGAAGTGCATGCACACTTCTATGTCATATTATCACGTGTGATATTTGTGGAACCACTGCTCTCAAGATACAGAACTATTCTACCCACCACAAAGATCTTCCTTGTGCTTCCGCTTACGGTCATCCCCACCATCCCCAATGCCTGGCAATCAATCTGTTCTACATCTTTATTAGCTGTAATTTCAAGAATGTCATGTAAATGAAACCAGGAAGGAGTGACCTTTTCACACAGTTGACTTCTCTGAGGTCCATGCAAGCTGTTGCATGTACCAGTGACTTGTCCTTTCCATTGCTGAAAAGTATCCCACTATGTTGATATATCATCCTTTGTTCACCCATTGCAGAAAAATATGAGCTGTTTTCAGCTTTCTGGCTATTAAAATGCTATGAACATTGTGTACAGATTTTTATAGCGTGTGTTCTTAAAAAATAGATAAATCACTTTTCAGAGCTGAGATAGAGGAGATAAAGTGTCCGGAACACAGACCAGGTTTCCAAATCCAGATGTTTTTACTTTATTTCCTGGGCTGTTTCTAACAATCCCAGATTAAATGAGAACAAACTGTTCTATAGACAGTGTAGAAAACTAATGATTATGTTTTTTATTACATCTCTATAAACTATTGGTTTTAGAATAATATCTGCTCAAAAACTTGATTGCTTTTAGCATCCTGTATGCACATGGATTCACTCATTTATTCCTTAACACTATTGTTTTAGTGCCATTAAATGTCAGGTCCTGTGCTATGTGTCAAAACAAGTGACCAACCCATGAGGTCCTTTCCAAAATACTATGTTTATAGCACAGAGGTAGCTTGCTGGATTAGTAGTTTTAAATTATACTTGGAAAAATGTTTACTCACAGATAACTGCTATAACAATAGTTAAACTTGTGTTCTTTTTTTAAATTTTATATTGATTTTTAGAGAGAGATGGAAAGAGAGAAACATCAGCATCAGCTTACTGCACAACCCCATCCTGGGTATTAAGCCTGCAACCGGGGCATGTACCCTGACCTTTAGGTATATGAGACAACGCCCAACCAATGGAGCCACACCAGCCAGAGCTAAATGTGTATTCTCAGATTTAAATTTTTGAAAGATTTGGGTTAATGTATTTTGCCTCATCTTAGGAAAGCAATTGCTGAGCATGCATGCACAAATGCACAATCTAATTTGCAAGGTATGCAATTCAATACTGCTTTCAAATATGGGTTAGGTTCAGCTGGATTTTTATTTGTGGCTTGTTCACAAATTAATGATTCCTTCTACTTAGTCTATGTCTTTTTCCCCCAATAGCATGAAAAATTAATCAACCGGCCACAGAGTACCAAAAGAATTTCTACAGATCCTCTAGGTAAGAGTGCCCTCACTACAAACCTCCTTTTTCTCTCCTATATTATAGTAGAGACCTGGTGCATGAAATTCATGCTTGGGAGGAGGGAGGGGGTCCCTCAGCCTGGCCTGCACTCTCTTGCAATCTGGGAACCCTCAGGGGATGTCTAACCACCAACTTACAGGCCTAAACCAGCAGTCGGACATCCCTCTCACAATCTGGGATGCTGCATACACCAGTGACTATACTTTTCACACAGGTGAAAAGCATCTTGCTATTTTATGGACAGCTACATTTTTCCCCCCCTGATTATAAAAAGTAGTACAGAGCATGACCTTCTGAGACAGTAGCACTATTTTCTCCATCTTACGGGTGGAAAAGCTGAAGCAGAGAGAAGTTAAGTAATTGGCTTTGTCATACAGTTATAAATGTCAGAATCAGGGCTGACCACAAAATGTGCAAGCCAGAGTCCATGCATGTCATCACTGCATCATCCTGTTTTTTTCAGTGTTTGAGAAGCCTTGCCAGATTTTAATTTTTAAATCTAAGAGACTATTCCCAACATATAGGGAAAGGTCCCTAGGCCTGGACAGCAATCAGGGCTGATTGGTGGGGTGACTGGTGGTGCAATCAGGGGACCCCTGCTGGTACCCCCCTTGGCTGGCCTGGCACCTTATCCCCCACCACCACTGCCACTGGTTGCCTCCCTCTGTGGGATGACCTTTAGGGTGATAAAGGGGATCCTTGCTCACACCCATCTTGGCTGGTCTGAGGCCTGAGAGCTGGGGACAGCTCCTGCAGTGAGCATCAGACCCTGCTGGTCAGTTTTCAACATAGTGACCAGTCGTTCTGCCGTTTGGTCAATTTGCAAATTAGGCTTTTATTCTATAGGATATTTTATGTGAATCCTTTTATAAAAAAGACTAGATAACTTTTCAGTTCAGTAATCATTAAGTTTATCACTCTAATAAATGTTTTCCTTTGGAAGTCATGAATGTTTAATTCAAAGCATACTCAAATGCAGACATAGTTAAATTTATATTAAAATTGAGAAGAAATATGAAGTCTACTAAGTAATATTTTACTAAGATAACTAGTAAGTGCTTAGTTTGGTAAGTAGACCAGTGCAGTTTTTTCTGAAATGCTGACTATTAATTGTGAGTCTCAATGTTTGGTCACCTTGAATCTACATTTGAGGGCAATAGACTTTAAATGGAGGTATATTGGTGTGAAACCACAACAGAAACCTGTGCTTTTTATCGTGGTTATGCATAAATCACTTACATAACAATGATGAGGATTGCAGGGTAGAATTGGACAGTTTTATTCTATTTTAGCCTTCGAAACAATTCATTCTGTGATGTTAATAGTGACTTTAATCATTTATTGGTCTCCAGAAAACAGGAGTGTGTTTCGCTTCTGTGTTAAACCTACCACTGATGGCAAAGCCTTCCCTTCAGGGGTTACTTTTATGGATTTGTACAGAAAACGTCCAGGCTTTATTGAATTACACGCGAAAAAAGTAGGCTGGGAATAAACCTTAGTGCTACATATCCTCTCAGAGGCACTAAAACTGCTTTCAAAGAGACAGGAGGTGATACAGCAAAAATAAAACAGAAAATACCCTCTCCCTCCCTCCCCCATATACACACATCTCCACCAAACAAGAAACCAAACCAAACCAAATGAAAAACAACAGCAGAAGATGAAAGCCTGGGAAGTTTGTTAACTTTTGAAGAATCTGATGTTAAATAACTCTCACTACCATTGTCACAACCACGGGAGAGCACAGGGTGCCCTGCTCTTCCCTACCTAGATTGTTACACTATGTGGTCTTACAGGACCACTACCATCTGAGCTGCTGCAAGAAGGGTGATGGTAGGTTAGGGTAGAGCAGGATTAATCTATAAAAAGCTTTTTAAATGCTTAGTTATGGTGTTCAGACAATACTTTATAAGAGATTTAGTAACAAGGAACAAATAAGATCTGATTAGACTGAAAACTTTTCTTTATTAGTGTGTGGAAGACTAATGTTAGGCAAAACTGATAACAGGGATATGAATTAGAACCCAGGTTCCTACAATTCTCCAGAAAAGAGACATAGGTCATGACCAAGAGTGGGTCAGTAAGGCGAAAAACTGGGGGACATAGCTGAGACATATTTAGAATTAGGTCTGGTTGGACTTTGGTACAGGGGATAAGAAATAGGCTTTGAGAAATTACAATACCATTACTTGTTTTAGCTTACTCAATTGAGTAGTCACATGTACTGAAAAAGTTGATAGAGTGAAGGATCAGGTGGAGAGAAGGAAAGACCAAAGCTGATTTTGTTTTGAGAGATATAGAGCTTGAATTGCCTGTTACATATCCTGGTAAAGATAATTGAGAGATGAACATTGCATATGCTATACCAGGATCTAGAAAAACAAACCCACAGGTGCAGATTATAGTACAGTGTTTGGTAAACTCATTAGTCAACAGAGCCAAATATCAACAGTACAAGGATTGAAATTTCATTTGAGAGCCACATTTTTTAAACTTAAACTTCTTCTAATGCCACTTCTTCAAAATAGACTCACCCAGGCCATGGAATTTTGTGGAAGAGCCACACTCTAAGGGCCAAAGAGCTGCATGTAGCTTGAGAGCCACAGTTTGCCGACCACAGCTCTAGTAGATCTGGGCTGTTTCACAAATAGTAGATGGTTGAGGTAATAAGAGTTGATGAATTCATTGAGGGGAGAGGATAGAAATAGAAGAGACATGAGACAGAAAGCACAAATTCAGCTGTAACAGGAGGAAGAGACTCAGCAACTCAGAAAGAGCCATGTGGCAGAAGAGGGAACCCAGGGAAAGCAGTAAAATGCCTTGTGAAGTCAGACAAGACAGACTGAGAATCAGCTGTGGTAAGGGGTAATGAGAAGGGCTCTGGGAAAACTGGAAAGCCTTCAATAGAGTTTTAAAAGAGGGTTCAGAATCCCTAAAGCAAGGGTTTAAGAAGTGAGTCAGGCTGGGACCAGTTTGGCTCAGTGGATAGAGTGTCGGCCTACGGACTGAAGGGTCCCAGGTTCAATTCTGGGAAAGGGCATGTACCTTGGTTGCGGGCACATCCCTGGTGGGGGGTGTGCAAGAGGCAGCTGATCGATGACTCTCTCTCATCAATGTTTCTAACTCTCTATCCCTCTTTCCTCCCCTCTGTGAAAATCAATAAAATATATATTTTTTTAAAAAGTGAGTCAGCAGTGATGAACTCTAGGCATCAAGTTACATTAGGCATTAAAAGATTTTATGGTAAAAAGTGTGTAACACATACAATCTAAAGAGAAACCACAGTACAGGGAATATAGTCAATAATATTGCAGTAATTATGAATGGTGCCAGGTGCATACTGGCAGTATCCAGGGGAAACACTTTGTAAAGTATTTGATTGTCTAACCACTATGCTATACACCTGAAACCAACAGAAATTAATATTAAAAGTTAAAAAAAGATAAAATAAAGATCCTTGGCCTTTAGCTCTGAAAAAAAGCATAAAATATTTTATGGCAAGGGAAGGAAGAGATAGCTCAGTAGATTGAAAGTGTAGCAGAAGCAGGGAAATAGGAGGCTTGAGAGTGTTTGTAAGAAGCATGGCAAGAACCTGTGGTGAGGAGAAGATTAAGGAACAGGTGTGAAGGGAATGATGATGAAAAACAGTGTGATAGGTGGAATGTGGCAAACACAAGGAGTTAGATTTTGTAAGAGAATGATTTTGAAATGAAAATAAGGTTATGTGAACTTAGGTCAAATGACTTTGGGTAAAGTAGGAGTAACAGACTGAGTGAATCAGAATGCACATAAGTTTGGGGCTTACGGATGGTAGAAGAGATTTGGGTCATTGCTCTGGAAAACTTTAAATGGAGTTCAGGAAAAGATTTTTTTAATGGATTTGTAAGCTGCTAAGAGCTTAAATAGTGGAAAAAACATAGACTTTCTTGATCACATTCACCATAGGTTCATAACCCTGGGCAGCCTGATAATTAAATGTAGTGTGAATCAAGCAGGATTGGGGATGGACAAGTTGAGAACAATGAAAACTAAAGAGGACAGCATAGTTTAAGGAAGATGCAAGACCCTTCTCGATGCACCTCGCTGGTTGTTAGAAGTAGCATGTTACATCCAGTAGGTTTGACTGAATGACTGCACCATCAACAATATGACTATATTAGTAGTGATGGGGGAGGGGGTGTGTGGCAAGAAGAATATGAAGCAGGAACAATGAAATAGAAGCTGTGGAAGTTTAAAAGGTACCGGTGGACAGTAATATGGAGAATCTGAGGCCAAGGAGATGGAATAATTCTGGTTGATGATGAAACTGGCCATGAGAGTCAGTATCTAACATGGAGTCACATGCAAGTTATTGATGTTGACGAGATTAGGAACTATGCAGTCAGTAATGGTACTGATGGCCAATGCAGTTGCTGATAATTTTTCTTTCTTTTTTTCTTTTTAAAAAATATATTTTATTGATTTTTTTTTACAGAGAGGAAGAGAGAGGGATAGAGAGTTAGAAACATCAATGAGAGAGAAACATCAACCAGCTGCCTCTTGCACACCACCCGCCAGGGTTATGCCTGCAACCAAGGTATATGCCCTTGACAGGAATTGAACCTGGGACCTTTCAGTCTGCAGGCTAACATTCTATCCAATGAGCCAAACCCGTTTCGGCAGATAATTTTGCTTTTTGATGGCAAAAGACAGATGCCTTGGAGAGGGAGAGAAAGGCCTGTAGCATGGACATCAAAATCCATACACTGCAGAATGCTCATGTGGAAGTAACAATGGAAAGCGAGGATGTGTTGAGTCTACTTCCTGGTAGACTTTGCAGAAAAGTGGAATGACGCACAGTGTAAAAGCAGATGTATTTGAGTGAGCAGGTCAGTGGGAAGGAATACTTGAATAAAAGGTGGCACAAGACCAGAGGAAATGGTGCGGGGGTGAGCATGAGTGGGAAAGTGGCTGTGAGACAGGCTAGTGTTGGATGTGGAAGGAGAGAGAGAGCAGGATTGGGGGTATTACTGAGAGAGATGGATCTGAGTTCCACAATGAAGAAAATAACAGAAAAATGAATCGCGAGGTTAGGTGGTGGATGAGTCACAGGGAAAGGGAAGAAGTATGCTGAGTACACAGGGTAGAGTCAAAGGAGATGTTCATGGTTCTAAATATTAGTCTGGGGGTCAGGGGAAATGCTGGTGTGGAGAACCTTCCACAGAACTGATCTGTGGGCAGTGGATCTTGGAGAGTTTGTGGGTGACTGTAGTTGGGCTCTGTATATGACCATTGTCCAGATGCTTCTAACACTTATGCATCAGATTAGTACTAATGAAGGAAAACATTTCTTGAACCTAAAAATATCCTTTAACACACATGCTACTTATAGTTGGGTTGGAGGCTTGCTAAAAAATGCCAAGTCTTTTCCTCCTCCTCATCCTATTTAAGTAGACTCTCTGAGGCAGGGTGACAACCCATTGGACAAGCCCACTTGGCTCTTAGGACTCAGTTAAAATTTGAGAAGCACTTTCAACCCTCTGCAGGAGAAGACCCCAGACATTCAAAGGCTCTCAACGGTCCAACTGGGTGGTCCCAAATCTTTCTGCTGCTCAGAGGACAGACCGGAGGGCACTTAGATTCCTGTGAACAGGGATGAAGGACTAGCTGAGCACATCCCCCAAGAAAGAGTCCTAACACTGTCCCCCGTGTGCCCGGCAGAAGCCCTGTGGGATAAGTTGCTCTACTGGTTGGCCGAGGAGCTCTCAGCAGAAAATGCCAGGAGTCTCTCCTCGTCCCTCCCTCTTCGCCGCAGCACCATTCAGCTCATCAAGCTGAAGAACCCAGATGACCTCACAGAACAGATCCACGAGCTTCTTTGCTCCTGGAAAAAATCACTCCCGAATGCCACCGATAAACTTCGCCTGCTGGCTCGCCATCTCCGCAAGATCGGCAGGAGTGATCTTTCGGAAGAGCTCAAGTTCAAGTGGGAAAATCAAGTGTTCACTGAGCCACAGCAGAGGCTTGATGTGGCAGAGTAAGGCCGGTTGCTCTTCCTTTGGGTCAGAGTTGGTGGTAAGAGGGTTTCTGTCAACATTTTACTAGGGGCTCCCGGGCATGTTTGAAGTGAATCTGTTTGGTAGATGTGCTCCTGAGACAAGGGGCAAAGCACTAGTCAGACAACAAAAGGATTCCTAGGTCTGAGTGCTCCTGCATAGGTCAGTGACATGTATGGTGCAAGCATGGCCAGCACAACATGGGTCCAGACAAACTGTAATGGCATTTGCCATACAGTTTGCTCTGCTCACATTTTAATAGGTGAAGTTTCTTTCTAAGTGTAAAGGAAAGATATGATATATAGAATCCCTTTTTTATTGTTTTAACAATAACAATATAGACAACAATACACTGTTATCTAGCTACATAAAAGGAAAATAGTTATCAGGGATTCCAAGCAACTAATCTTCATTACGTGATGCAGTGGCACCCATAGGTAATAATGCCAAATAAATCGGGCTGCAGGGACCTGACATAGATTACAGCAAATCTCTTTCAGAAAACGTCATTCATTTACTGCCAAAAACCTTTCTTTTGCTGAAATGTAGCCTGGAAGAGGGAAACCTCATGTTTTATTACTAGCGGGATGAAGTGCAGAGGATCTGAAAGAATTCACCTACTTAGGATAAAGCTCTGCTTATAAATCAGTTTGAGAATACCCTTATTACATGAGCCCCATTTAAAAAGTTATAAAAAATCTCCACAAACTAAAAGAAAAAAAAATAGTAATTACCTAAGCCCCATCATCACTGATAATCCCTGAAAATGTCTGACGCACAAGCTCTGAGACTGAAAAACCTAAAGCCCCTTTGCTCCCTGAACAGCATGAAATGAAAGGGGCATTACATTAGTTTAACCAATGTCTTTGAATGTCTTAATGGTTGCATAAAACCCCATTTCAAAGCATTTCCATATTAATTTTAATAATACCTGTTTTGAAAAATGTAATGATGCAGTACTTTTTTATTCAACTTTATATTGTTGAAATTCATCCATGTTGTTTGGCAATAATTTGTTCCTTCTCATTAATATATAATATTCCATTATATAAATACACTACAAATAAATGCCTATTTCACTGTAGACATCATTTCAATAAATTTCTGTTTGGAGCTATTATAAACAGTGTTTTTATGAACATCTGTACCTACTTTAAGTGATGATATATACTTATTTCTCCTCTGTATGTAGCTGAGAACATAGTAAGTGGTTATCATAATTAACTAATTAACTTAACCTTTCCCCTCTTATTGTATAAAGATTGGTTTTGTGCACCAGTGGGGTCCCTTGGTCTGGCTTGCAAATTGCAAGAGCCACACGCCAGGCCAAGGGACCCCAACTGTGCATGATTGGAGGTCAGGGAGGGGCCATGGGAGGGCTCCAGGGCATGTCCGGCCCATCTTGTCCAGTCCTGACTGGCTGGACCCCAGCAGCAAGCTAACCTGCCAGTTGAGCGTCTGCCCCTGGTGGTCAGTGTGCACCATAGCAACTGGTCGAACAGTCAAACAAACTGTCGACCACTTAATATATTAGGTTTTTATTATATAGGATTTAGGTGACTTCCTTCTTTTCATAAAAATAACACTACAATGACCACTTTTCTACATATGCATGTGAACAATTATTTCTTTGGGCTAAACCTTTAGAAATGGGATTATCTGCTAGGAACATTTTTGAGGCTCTTGATACAAATTGATAGATTGCCACTTTACATTCTAATTATCAGGTTATGAAGATTCTTAGCAAAACAGTATTTTCAATTATATGCATAAATGAATCAAACTGAAGCACATAATATGAAATCCTACATCTCAGGTAAGCCTGGATTGTCTTCAATTGCTTTATTGAGGAAAAAAGATATTAACTTAAACCTTTTGCAGCATCTCCTCCACTGATAAATGGAGTATTCTTCATTGGCATTGCCATTTCAAAAAGTATCAGAAAGAAGACGAATATAGCAGACATGTGGACAGATTTCCCAGGATGTCAGAGAGCTATGGTATAAAAAAAAATAGCAAATTCGATTGAAAAGATGTTAAATTCATTTATTCAACGGATGGATGTTGAACACAAATTCTGGATCAGGCAATCTACTCTATGCTGGGAAAACAAAAACAAGTTAGAGACAGTCCCGGGATATGTTTTTGTTTAAAGGAAGAGTGAATGAATGGGACCAACATGCTGTTATTGCCTATAATGAACCAAGCTCTTAATGATTAGCTCTTTACAGAGATTCATTCATTTAATTCTCCTAACTTCCTGTGAGGTAGGTATTCTGCCTCATTCTATGAGAGGAAACTGGAGATCGGAGAGATTGAGTGCCTTGCCTAAAATCACAAGTAAGTGAGTGACATAACCAGGATTCAAATGCATGCTGCCACCAAATTAAAAAGAAGAAAGGAAAATATATATATTTCCCCCTTATCCTAAACATTCTGTATTTCTACTTCTCATTTTGCAAAACAACATTTCTAATTCATATCAGTGATGCAAATAGAAGTTTTGAGCATGAGGATGGGGGAGGGGGAGGTGATGGGAAGGGAGTGTGATGTTGACATCCTTGATATTTGTCAACAACTCAATTGGTTAAATGTTCTCTTTGACTTGTTTAAGGGAATGACAGGTTAGGGCAATATTGAAAATTGACTTAATCATAAATTGGTGGTGCATAAATACTGGTTGTTGTTTTTTTCCCCCAGCAGATAATAGTAGTCACCAATAATTAGAACTATTTTGCCACAACTTGACTATTCAGGTACATCAAAAGCCCTTCAAAACAGTGGCTGTAAAATAGGACCATTTAGCAATTAAGCCTTAGACCTTGTTACTGAGGTGCCTGTTTTATCCAGAGGGTAAGAATAGTTTTACTATATAAAGAGCCAATCTAAGTATCTGTATCTTGAATAACAAGAATTGCATTAATGAAAGGCCTTTACAACTACCCTTTTGCTAATTATTAAACCCAAATTTTACAAATAAAATAGATCTAACATATATTACTCTAATGAACAAAACCTGATATGTTAAACAATATGCTTACCATGTCTGCAGTGTACATTTATGGTGAAAAGTAATTATCTCTTTTAAAAAAAGCAGCTTAAATGGACACATACACACTATCACATTGTATATTATTCTGAAGCATTTCAGAATGAAATAGAAGCACCTTAACAAGTGAGGGAGACTTTGATAGCATCATAATTTAATTTTTAAAACAGCTAAATTTTGTGAGGAAAGTTCCATTTTTCTGATTCAGTGTTTCTAAATGGAGGTGCTATTGGCATTTTGAATGGGGTAGTTTTTACATAAAAACCTGAGTTGGTGCCTGTGTTATGGGGCACTCAGCATCCCTGACTTCTGTTCACCATGTGGACAGAGCCTCTCACTCCCATAGTAAGTGTGAGAAACAAAATTCTTTCCACACATTTCTAGTTATGACGGCGGTGGGTTGGGAGCACAGAAATGCTATAAGTGGACTTAAGAATAGAGTTCCATGGATCTTAAGGAAGGGTGTTGGGAATCATTGTTTTAGTAAACTTTTGGTTTGAAACAGAGCATAATATAAAGGGGGGAGTGAGAGAGGGAGAATACATTACAAGAAACTAAGAACATCATAAGCAAAAGAGGGCCCTATTTTGAACTCTCCTACTGCTATCACTATTTGCAAGAAAAGTCAACTGCTGCCTTATGACTTGCCCAGAAATATTCTCCATGAGGTCCCCTCTGAGTCATAATGCAGAGTTGTAGTAGGGAACGAGAAATTTGTCTAAGGGTCTGAGCAGGCTCCTTGAGGTTCAAAGAGCCATAGTTCAGAGGAAAAGGAAAATACTGGGTTAGGTCAAAATAGTGGCTATTGCAGATTCTCTACGTAATTCCCCGTAGCTTAGCCAAACATGCATGGCAGGAGGAATAGGGAAACTGAGACAAAACAAACAAAAAGAATTAAACAAGGCCAAACAGCTTGGCAGCCTGCAGTCAGCTTGAAAATAGCAAGTCCTTACCTTCCCCAACCAAGGACACTTGAAAGCACATAGTTAATGTCTCTCCAAAGACAGCAGAGAGGGAGGAAGGGGATGGAAGAGTGCAGTCTTATTTCATCCCACGCCCTAAACAGAAAAGCCAGCAGTCTTGGGGCTTGGCAAGATAAAATTGCCAGGTGCTCCTCACACATTCTGGGAAAAGCCACAACAAAGTGAAAGACGGACCTTGAAAATTGAGCTGTTCCAGACCAGGGAGGGTGGGTGTGAGGGAAGAGATCAACCAAAAAATTTATATGCATATGTACAAAACCCGTGGGCACAGACTATAGGATGGTGGAGGCCTGGGGTGGGAGGGGGGAGGAGGAGTGGAGCAGAAGAGGACAATTAGGGGGAAAAGGGACACACATAAAACTTTCAACAATAAATATTTTTTTAAAAAAATAAATAAAGTAAAATGCTTGGTCCTGGAAAAGAAAGAAAATTGATCTGTTCCAAGATAATCATTTGGCAGAGGAATTTAAAGATCTATAGACAACATGATCTCTCTCATTTATGGATAATTAAGAACATTATAGACTGATGAACAAAAAGATAGATTTAGAGGCAGTAATGCATCAAACATACTGTCAAATTATAGTCGGAAGGTTAGGGAGAGGTAAGGTAGATAAGAGATCAACCGAAGGACTTGTATGCATAGATATAAGCATAACCAATGGACGCAAGACACTAGGGGTTGAGGGCATGGATAGGAGTGGGGTGAGTGGGGGGGGAGCAATGGGAAAATACGTATACATATAATACCTTAATAAAAAATTAAAAAAAAAAGCCGAAACCGGTTTGGCTCAGTGGATAGAGCGTTGGCCTGTGGACTGAAAAGTCCCAGGTTTGATTCTGGTCAAGGGCATGTACCTTGGTTGCAGGCACATCCCCAGTGAGGGGTGTGCAGGAGGCAGCTGATTGATGTTTCTCTCTCATCGATGTTTCTAACTCACTATCCCTCTCCC